TCACCTCCTTGATCTGCCAATCTGTCTCTGTCATCTTGGGGGAGTCCCTAGGGTCTCTTCTCAGCTGTCCCATCACTCAGCAAGCTCCTCTGTGCAAATAGCTCCCATCTTGTATCTCCAGGGTCCAAATTTCCCTAAGGGTTCCAGACCCATGTGCYGACCTCTTCCTGGCCAGCTTCACTGGGATGGCACCAGGCACCTCCAACATGGCACTTCTCAACTGAACTCATCAGTTTATCCTCTTGTGTTCTCGAGTTTCTCCCCATTCCAGCTTTTCCTCTTGTGTCCTCCATGTTGAGTATGCATATTAGTCAGCTTTGCATCACTATAACAAAATACCTGAGGAAACCAACTTTATAAACAGAAAATGTTTATTTAGCTCACAGTTGTAGAGGTTCAAACCCCAAATCAGGCAGCCCTGTTGATTTGGCCTCTGGCAAGAGGGGCACATCACAGTGCTATCAACTTCCCCTTTGATGGCAGTGGCAACTCCTAAGTCACWGATCCCACCTGGCAGTTACACTTACAGAAGTCCAAGGGTCTTGTTAGAAACAAAGATGAGATCATGTTGCTCTGTTTAAAGTTTCCCTCATGGGAAAGCCAAACTCCATGGCAGGAGGTGCAGGACCCCTGTATTCTGCTCCTGACTTCGTCAGTGTCAGCACCTGCTGTTCCCATCATTGCATCYGTCCCTCCAAACTCTGCTGCTCTCTGTTCCTGCAGCATGTGCTGCTCTCTCTCCCCTTCCAGCCTTGGAACTCACAACATCCCTCTGCTGGGTCTTTCCCCTTTCACACAGGAATTCACCATTAGTCCTCGGCTAAGATGTCACTTCTTCTGGTTGCTTTCCCTGACCTTGTGAGTAAGGATTGCCTGCCCCAGATTTCCTCCAAGGAGTCCCGAGCTCCTCTGTTGCAGTTGTTTCCGTATCTACATCTCCCTCTGGAAGCAGTCCCTCAGGACAGGGACTGCTCACGATTACTCCTAGAACAGCATATTACACATAGAAACCCTCCAAAAAGTATACATGAAATTTTGTCATTAGCATATTGATGCAACAAATTATATAAATAGAGTTCCTGATATTAAACAATCCCACATTCATAGAATAAGCCCTATTTCATCATGGTGGAATTCTYTCCTCGTGCATCATTCAATTAAACTCTCAGTGCCTTAGGGGTTTTATATCTATTTTTAGAGGCGAGACAGGTGTGTGGTTGATGTGGGCATACTACCAATGGCAGCTTTGGGGTGCTTGGGTCACAGTGACTACCAAAAAAATTGAACTCGGTCGATTTCGGATATTATGTATGTTTATATGGTATWGTATTATCCTCACTGAATAATTTCTTGCATTAAATAAGACTGCATTGGCAAAAAGAAATGAGCTGACTCTATGTAGGGATGACTTTAAGATATCTTCTCAAATGGTAAAGAATTCAAGTTCCCTTCATGGTTGTGGTATTTAGGGTGTGTTCTATATTTTCTAGAGTCAAATTTGAAATACTCACRTCTCCCTTCCCCCCAGGAAATCCTCAGTTTTCCCAGGATTTCCAAGTCCCTAACACAGAGATTTTGGAATCCAGTGAGGATTTCCAAGTCTTTCCTTTTAATCAATATGGGAGCAATCAAGTGGGAATATAAGCTACCWCTTGAGACCAAGCCCAATCCACAGGACGACTTTTCTCCCCTTCCTTTCCCAGGATGCACAAGCACAAGTGTCATGACCATGGAGAAAATTCAAGTCCTTTGCTATTTTCAAAACTATATTACAATTGCTTATCTAGAGAAGTCAGATCATCTATTTGTGCYAGCACTCTTATTCATCTGCAAGCAATTATTCAGCAAGGTAACACAATACCGTGTAAATACAAATTCTGAAATTCACCCTATTCATTTTTTGGTAACCCATATTGCTCCTATACCCAAAGCTGTCAAAAGTCGCATGTCAAGGCCACTGTTTTCCTTTCTCCAGAAACTTCTGAGTGAAGATATAAATACGCCCTTCTCTCATGCCAAAGACCTGAAAATTCCTAAGACACCAGCTAGGAACAGAAGAGCTGGAATGGGCCCAGTCTGGAGAGGGAGATATGTGGGGAGAGTCCAAAGATGTCTGTATGGCTGGACATGAGAATGTTCCAACAGCCTCCTAGTGGGGCTGACGGCCCTGAGTGCTCTCTCTTCTTCCAGATGAAGTATTGTGTAGGTTACGGTCATCCCAGGTTACCAGTTTCCCCTGGTATGCACAGAGATTGGTTTTCAGGATCCCCAAGGACACCAAAATCCACAAATGCTCAAGTTCCTTATATAAAATGGCAGAGTATTTGCATATAACCCACATACCTGTATACTTTAAATCATTTCTAGATTACTTATAATATCTAATACAATGCAACTGCCATGTAAAAAGTTGTTATATTGTATTGATCTGGGGGATAAAGACAAGGACAAAAGGTCTGTACATGTTCAGTATGGATCCAACTTTTAAAAAATATTTTTGATTGGGGGGTTGGCTGAATCGGTGGATGACAAACCCACAGATATGGGAGGCCAACTGTGCACATGTCCCTTCTGATCTTTTAGTTTGCATCTCTTCTCTTTTTTTAAAATTTAAATTAAATATGCCAGAGGTTAACTTTTGCCCAAATTCTCTCCTTGATTGACTCTCTTATTTCTATTTTCTAATTTGTTGATTTCTGCTTTTTTCTGAACTATTTTCTTATTTTTGTTTTCCTAAGATTTTTGGTTTTGTTGTTGTTGAAATTTGTTCTAATTTGAGTTAAATGCATGGCTAACTTGTTTTCATTCTCTAATGTGTGACTTTAGAAAACACCTATGAATTTGACTGTGAATACATCTTTAGTCACCTCCCCTTTTGATATGTGGTAGTCTTGTCTTGTTTTGTTTTTTAAGTTTTCTAAATTGCAAGCAACTGCAGTTCTAAAATTCTCCCTTCTAGTAAGTTTTAAAAAAAAATCCCAACTGGATTATATTGTTTAGGTTTATAAATTGTCCCCTATCTCCCCACCATCCCCCACATCAGAAGCATTTAGTCAAACCTAAACAGTTTTGCTGTAGAAAAATCATTACTACAATTTTCTTTATGACCTAAAATACTTATGTGATCTTTCAATGTTCTATGATTCCACAAAAGAAAGACATAGCTTTCTGTAGGGCAAGGGAAAAGATGATCTAACTACTAATTTTGCTTTATTCACAATATTGCTATGCCTTTCAACAAGTCATCTGTTAAAGAACCTGATGGGCATTAAGCACTCCCACAGTTAGGTTTCCAACAATTCTTTGTTATAAAGATTTGCTTTGGAATATTTTCTGTTCTCTTGGAGTGCCTATAGATCCATAACTAGTATCCTTCCTGTGGCTGCCTTCAGATCCTTTAAAGGTGACAAATTTTGATGATGGTGGAATGAGTTGGACACCATTACCCTAAGTACATGTATGAAGACACGAGTGGTGTGAAAATACTCTGTGAACAATCAATGACTTGAAAAATTGTGCTCTATATGTATAATATGAAATGAATTGCATTCTGCCATCAAGTATAACAGATTAGAATAAATAAGTCATTTAATTTTTTTTAAAAAAGCAACAAAGTTTGAGGATGAAAGAAGAGTAGGCTTGAGGTTGACTTTTTCTGGGATACAGTCTGCCCCATGAGCCAGCCCTTCATTGCCCCTGTGCCATGTAAGTTGTGTGAAGTTTCATTTTATTGGGGGGGGGGTTTGACATTCTCTGTCTTTGAGCAGAAGTGTTAACCCTTTTTATATTCCCATGCCTAGTGCATTTGATCTGATATTACAAGTGACTTTTCCACACACTGAATCAGACCACAAACTCTAGAATTTGGCTACCGGTGTGAGAGACTCAACTTGTGAAGAGCTCGGTGGCCCTTGCCACTCACCTGGGTGTGCAGCTGACTCGCACTAAGCCCCAGGGTCCTTATCTATAAATGGGGACTGACATCGTGTGCACCTCCCCATCTTCCTGGTTGACACATGCAAAGTGCGTTCCACGCTGGCTGAGCCACAGGGTAGCCCCCTTCCTCATCGTCTTCTCTGCACAGCATTCTCTTATCTTTCTGTTTCAGGTCACTGTCCCTTTGGGACCCATGCATGCTGCCAGGAAAGAGGCTTCCAAGTTCAATAACAAGCGGAGGTAGGTAGGTCAAGAGGGCTCAGCAGAAGATATAAGGCACAAGGAGAGGACAGCACAGATTTTAGACACAGTCAGGAGTCAAAGTCGGAGGTGTAAGAACCACGATTTCTGATGCTTTGACATCTGAGGCACTGCTAACCCTGAAGGGACTGTTCCTTCCAGGATTGCCAATTCCTAGAGGGAGTAAACAACTCAGGGCATCTTTCACGTGAAAACCAACTGATCCAGAGCCCATATCTCTGACCACCTCCTTTATCAGACTGTACACTCAGGGTGACTATCCACCTGTCCTAATCACCCCAGGGTCAGGTATCAGACAACTTGGTACAGCTCTTATGTTCCAGAATCTTCTATAATTCTTCAAACTGGCCACTCTTAAGCCTGCTTACTCTACCTGCCTTGGTCTTTCCTGCAGAGACCAGAACAGAAGCTCTTGCCAGTTTTTCCTCGACTCCCTCTGCCCTGTGGCCCACCTGGTGCTTTCCAAGGTGGCCACCCAGGGTTCAGCAGGCATCTATCTCTGAAGGTCTGTAACAACTATCTTTTCAATGGGAGGAGGAGTCTTCTGATCTGTTGGCCTCACCATTGCTGAATGATAACAAAATCTACATTTTAAAACCTGGAGTCAAGGTATAAGGAATCAGGGATGAAACGGCTCACAAATTTCTCGTTACTTATAGAACCAAAGGGTGTCTGGGAGAGACCAGGGCAGTTTGAGAAAACACTCTCAAAAGAGGGCCATGCCTCACTCTCCAGCCCCATTCACTCCAAGAGAGCAGAGACTGTGCCTGGTAGGCAGGACCCCRTTTACAGTAGTCACTCACCTTCCCATAGCTCAGCAGAATAATCCGTACCAGGACAACATTGATGTGGGCCCCCAGGGACTCGTCATGATAGATTTCGTTGACCTGAAAGACAACCAGGGAGGCATCAGCAGGAACCCCATGCCCAAAGACCAGCTYTGGATTTGCAAATGGCATCTTAAGTCAATCAGCCCCCAGGTGAGAACCCAGGGTACCCTGCCCCATTCATTCTTCTTTCTGCACTTTGCACAGACATTGCCATCCAGTCTAATTTATCCCTCCACTTCCTGCCTCCTCCCACCCCATCCTTACAGCCAGCACCACCAGCCTGGATTCTGATAGCTGTCTTCTAAGAGATCCCTGCCAGCTATCCCTGGGATTTTTTTCACCTGGAGCTTGAACTTGGACCAGGAGACTGATTTCCATATTTGACATAGCCTCCAACCAAAACCCAGCTTTTCCTTTAAGAATGAAAATAGGCAACCAACACCAGCAGCACGAGCAGTACCTGGACTGTCCACCACAGAAACCACTCCACAGTTGTCACTGCTGCTGATGCCATGTTACCTATGCACCTTGCTATGGTCAGCACTGCATTCCGTGTCCACAGGTTCCACACACATGCATTCACCCAACGGTGCCTCAAAAATATCTGGGGAAAAAAGTTGCTCAACAGGTACAGATCCCCCCACCTTGTCATTATTTCCTAAACACTACAGACTAACAACTATTAATTTGTCATTTACCTCATGTCAGGTATTATCAAGTCATTTAGAGATGRTTTAAAGTATACGGGAGGATGGGGGGAAATTCTGCACCAGAACTGTGCCATTTTATATAAAGGACCGGAGCATCCAAGAGGGTCCAGAACCATCCCTGCAGGTACTGAAGGATGATTGTATTTGGAAATGGGGATCATTTGAGACCCTACCACCAGATCTACTTTGTTAATGATAAATGTAGTTATTACAAAATCATAAATGTGCTTTCCTTGTTTTGTTTTGAGAGGTGTGCTCACTACAGCACTATTTCATTCTCTCCTCTCTCTCTTTCTCTGGGTGGGAGGGAGCAGTCYGAGGATCAAACCCAGGGCCTTGGGCATGCTAACAGACACTCTATCACTACTCTTATGTATTTTATATTTTTTTGCATTTAAAAATATCATTCTGAGCAGGTGCCCATGGACTTCTCCAGATGTCAAAAGGGTACATGGCACAAAAAAGGAAATGAGTTCCCACACTCCACAATGCAGCCAGTATGACCTTTCCGAAACACAGGTCAGGTTAGCCCTAGGCCCTGGGTGTTAGAGGCTTCCTTCCCAACTAACACCATCCCTGTCTTCCTAGGGCACGCACTCAGGATCCTGGCTGGAACAGCCCCCTCACTGGGACTTCCTTCATTGGCCGACTAAACCCTATTTCTCCTAAGGCTAATCCAGGAGTTACTTCCTCCTGGGAGGGCCTCCCCAGCTCCGACCTGCTCCACATGGAGCACTGGTGGCCCATGACTTCCTGAACCCTCTATCAGTAGACTACAGCTGTTCCAAATCCGTATTTTCCCTCCTCATGTGCCCAGGCCCCAGGACAGAGTAACACAGGGCAGACACTCAAGAAAGAGTGTTAAGAGAATAATAAATCTACTAGTGTCATCACGGATGCACCTCCCAAATCCAGGGCCACCTCAGGCTGGTGCTGAACATGCTCTGCACCCCCAGTTTTAGGATGTCTGTCTGAGCGACTGTAATTCCTATCTATAAACAACAGGAAGCTACCTCAGGAAATCTGAGAGTTAACAAGGAAAAGCAAATCATGATGGATGGGATGGGGAGGCACACCAGGCCTAGGAGACAAGGAACCCGGTGGCTGCTGTCAGAGTCGCTGTGGATAAAAATGGCCCCAATTGGAGTGCAGAGTTAACAAGCTGGCTGGGCCCGGCTGATGCCACCATCCAGCCCAACACCAGCCCCTCTTGGGAACTTCCTGGTGTAGACCGTCTACTTCTGGTCATAACTTGGTTCCTCCCCCTCTTTACCTTCCTTTCCCATAGGTAAGGGGCAACTGATCAGACCTGAGGGAGTGCAGCTCAGACGATCACTGGGACTCAGCRACTTGACCTGAGTTCCCTGTGCCTGCCCCCTGGGCAGGAGGGATGCTGGGCCCTGAGGGACACCTACCAGATGCCCAAGTGCCTGCCTCATCACATGCAGCTGACGAGGTGGAGGCCGGGGGAGGCCCTCCACGTGCCCTGGTATCTTGCCTGCTCACACATCGCCTGCTGGCCTCCTCTGGGAAATCAGAATAACAGTCTTCATCTCACCAAGTTGTTGTGAGGATTCAATTTTCACCCCACATACCATGGAATGATATTTGCGAAAACTGAAACTGTATTTTTCACTGCTGGTAAGCCATAGTGCCCTGCAGTTCCCCCAGGAGGGCCTGAGGGCAGGGTGCACACCCCCTAAACCACAGATGACTTTGCTCAATTTTGAGGTTCTAACTAGATTTTTTTAAAGTCTAGTTTTAGCCTTAAAAGACAGTTTTTCTTAAAAGAGAAAGGAGTTTTTCTAAATTTCCAAAGTATTTGCTTTATCTGTGATGAGCAAAGCCTGGCCAACTGGACTCAGAGCATTCCTAGTACAGGAACCACCCAGGCCAGGGACATCTCACGGCAGCTGGAAGGGGCAGGAGAGGGGAGGAGAAAGAGTGGCTGGGCTTCCCCTCAGTCCTTCTACTCCAGCCCCCGTGGTCCCGTCTCAAGTTGGGAGTCGGGGAGGGAGAATAGAAAACAGCCTGTCAAGAAGGAAGGGAAAACAGAGAGCTTTGGAGCCCAGCTGCTGTTCGGTTTCTGAGTGGRGACAGGCCTGTATCAATAGGAGGTGGCTTCTGAGAGCCCAGATGGATGCTGGACACGTTTCAGTCATGAGCAAGAAGGAGAGGGTGACCTAGCTCCCAGCTGTGTGAGCAGAAGCATGGGGTCCCCTGTACCCCAGGAATGCCTGGGCAGGATACAGCGCGGGGGGGGGGGTGACTTGCTGCCTACCTGGTGCTGGGGCCTCTACCGCCACGTTTTAGAGAGGACCCAGGTAGTGCTATTCTACAGGGGTTGGGAGGCAGACCCGCTGGTATGGCAGCCGCAGAGGACCAACCCCTTCACCCCAAAGGCAGGTCCTTGTGAGGGCCACTGCGAGGCAAGAGCATGCTGGGGCAAGCCAAGCTGTGCACACACTCCCACCCAGGGCCAGGGGACAAATGCCCCACCCCATTCATATGTTTAAGTTCTTATCCCCAACGTGATAGATTGGGAGGTATCTGTGAGGTCATCAGAATGAGGTCATGAGAGGAGAGTCCTCATTATGGGATTAATGCCTGTGGGAAGAGACACAGAGAGCTTGCTTCTTCTCTGCTCCCCGATCCCCTCCACGTAAGGACACAGCAGACACTGGCCATCAGCAAACCAAGAAAAGGGTCCTCCCCAGGAAACCAAATTGGCTGGCAACCTTGATCTTGGAATCCCCAGTCTCCAGAACTGTAAGACATAAACACCTGTCATTTAAGTGGCCTGGTCTKTGGCATTTGCCATACGGGCCTAAGCACACGAAGACAAGCCCTGAGTCAGAACCTGCTGTGCTTTAGATCTTCAGTGTCTCCCAGAGGACCACACGCTAAAGGCTTGTCGCCAGCCTCTGGTGCCCCTGGGAGGGGGTGGGACCTTAAGGAGGTGGGGCCTAGTGGGACAAAGTTAAGTCACTGAGGCTTAATCTTGAAGGGCATATTGAGACTCCAGTTCCTTCCTGTGTCTGTCTGTCTGTGTCTGTCTGTCTGTCTCTCTCTCACTGCTTCCCAGCTGCCATGAGGTGAACAGCTCTCTTCCATAAGCTCCCCACGATGACGTTCTGCCCAAAGCAATGGGGGCCAAGAGGCCATGGACTGAAACCTCCGAAACTAGGAGCCAAAGTAAATCTTTCCTCCTTGTAAGTTTTGATTATCTCAGGTATTTTTGTCACAGCAAATGGAACGCTGACTGACACAGGGCTTAACTTTGACCTCATGACATTCCTCCACAGGTTTTTGTTTTTTTATTCTTTTTACTTTGTGGTACTAGGGATCGAACCCAGGGGTGCTTTGCCATTGAGGTACATGCCCACCCCTTTTTATTTTTATTTTGAGGCAGGGTCTCACTAAGTTGTTGAGGCTGGCCTCAAATTTGCAATCCTCCTCAGCCTCCCCAGTCACTGGGTGCACAACTGTGCTCATCCCTCTAAGAACTTTTAAACATTAAGGGCCTGAGCTACTTTTCATGGACCAGGACTTTTCTATCTTAGAACTGGGTGCCAGGGTTGAGGGCAACGTMGGACATTAAAACTGACGAAAGCTACATTTTTCCCTGTGTTTGAGCCTCGGTGGGTAGGCACTGACCCTGCCAAGCGTATCAAGCCCCCAGGCAGAGATGACCTAAGAGGATCAGGTCCTCAGTGGGACTTCTCAAACTGAGTTGACCATACCCTGGGCTTGGAACCACCCAGGCATTTCAGGCATGCCCTCTCCTTCCCCACGGCCCCAGGCAGGGACCCAGCAGAGAGCTGGTGGCCTCACCATGTATTAGCTCTCAGGATTCTGCAGAACTAGTGTGGAACTGGCCCTCAGAAGCAACTTGACCAGCTCCATAATCAGGATGATGTTCATGAGGGTTTTGAAGGAAAGGTGAACTAGAGGGTTTTGAAGATTCCACAATAGTGGGGTCTTTCCAGGTGGGTGTCAGGGGTCACCTAAGAATGTGGCATGTCATGAGAGCTAAAAGAGAGAACAAGTAAGCACAGTAAAACAGGGGTGGTCATCCTGGCAGAACAGCATGTGCAAACATCCTGGGGTCGGAAGCAATGAGGCAGGTTCTAGGCACAGAAAAGATGGGACAGGGGCAGGTGGAAAGAAAAGGTGGGAGGGGGGAACTAAGGCCAGACCACATGGGTCAGGAGGATTCCAAATCTACTCAATGAGCAGTCAGAGATTATGGAGCTTGGAAGGAAAGATAATAACATCACATTTTGCAAAGATTACTCTGGATTCTTCATGGAAAGTAGACTGAGGGGAAGATGTGGGAGTGTAGGA